TTTCATTTTACACCTACAATTAATTGTGTAAAAAAGTGTAACAATTTTGTTTACTTTTATAAATAAAAAGTTAGATCAATAATCCATATTTAGAGTATGAAACTACGTTGATATGAAAACTGACTACAAGTAGTCGGTTTTTATGCAAAATAAAGCAGGAAAACCAAATTCTGACCTATAGAGGTCGGAATTTTTCCGGGAAAAAATGAATTACAATAAAAACCGATCACTTGATGTCTGTATTAAATAAATAAATAAATAACAATATTTTATTTTTTCTCAATTAAATATAAAAAACAAAATTGAGAAATATTTTGATTTAATTTTATTTAAATCGTCTTCCGGAGGACGGTTTTGTGTAAAATTAAAAACAAAAAAAATTCTAATATCGACTTCTGGAAGTCGGGAAAATTAAATAGTATGTAATTAAGTTAATTTTCATTAAAACATTTATATAGTGACTTACAAAAAATTAATAAATTAATATTTTCAATTAACTTTAAATAAATCGTCCTCAAGATGACAGTTTTATGTAAGTTAATAAATAAATAAATTTAAAATAACGACCTCCCGATGTCAATATTATTTAATTAACATGACTACTTTTTATTTTTTCGTAAAATTTAATGTGATACCGAATCGATTTGTTTAAAATATTTCTATTAATCATAATTTTGCTATTGTGCATAATATTAAATTTTAATTTTACACCTACAATTAATTGTTTCAAAAAGTGTAACAATTTTGTATACTTTTATAAATAAAAAGTTAGAATTCGTGGAATAAATAAAAAAATATCTATAATCCATATTTAGAGTATGAAACTACGTTGATATGAATTAGGAGATAATTATACTTATATTTCTAGAGTAATGTACAAATTCTATCAGTCTGTTGTCAAATCATGAACTTAATATCTCATGTAATGATATAGAGGTGAAGAGCTAACATATAATCCATTTGAGTATGAAATGCGAGATAATACTCGTAGAAATGTCATGATAACAATTAATTAAATTTTTTATTTATAATTAACTGTTTAATTATTTGTACGTATAACCTTCAATGTCTTATCTCATTTTATGAAATACACAATAGAACATCATAAATTACTGTACAAAGTAAGTTCTATCAAGATTATTACGTTCGATCTTGAATGGATGTCAAGTGTAGTGATCATATCGCATACAATGACATGTAAAGGATAACTCATCGGAGTATGAAATACATTGATTATATACTCCTCGTGTAGTTTAACAAATCAAGTTTTATATATTAGTGGTTTAGATATGAAATACATTATCAATTAAAGAAATACCGATGATCAATTCAAGGAGATTTATATATTAAATTTGATATTGATAAACTTCCGTTGATCGATAAAATTAAATTTATATAATTAGGAGGTATATAATTTAAATTTATAAAAGTAAACTTTTGTTGATGTGTAGTTAAATTAAATTATATATATATATAATTTTAATTAACAAAATCGACCTCAAGAGGTGAGTTTATATTAAAATAAATTATTAAATACATACCTTAAGAGGTTGGTATATTTAAATTATTATTTTATATAAATAAAAACGATTTCATAATGTCAGTATTTATTTTAATATTTTTAAATATAGATAATTATTTTAAAAGATTCCACCGGCGAAGACGCCGCGAAGACCACTTGGCAATAGCTCCAGCTGCTGTCCACCAGCGACCCACGAAGCCACCGCGAAGTAGCAGCAACAACCAGGCATCACCTCTCTCTTCTTCAACGCTGCTACTCCAGCAGCGGCCTCTGCTCTACTCTCCGGCGAAGAAATCGACAACGCCAACAACAACTAACATCTCTGGTCAGCAACTTCGGTCAACGACAATAGGCAACAAAATTATTGGTGTCATTCTTCCTTCTTCTTTGTGAATGCTCATGCCTTAATTTCTTCCCTTTTTGATTTGCATGTTTGTTAATATGATTATACATATTCAAACTCTTTACTTGTCTGATTTTATTATGTGATTTTTCTCCATGATGGATATAGTATTTTCTTACTAGGATTTCCCCATTTGCGATTGTGTTAATATGTTGTCTTCCTGTTTAAACTCATTGGTTTTGAATTGTTCCACGTAGTGTTTGAAGGTTTAAGGGTTACAAACTCAATTCTGTTTCCAGATCCCATTGCCCATAATCAGTACTTGAATTTGATTAAAATTACTAGCTTCTCGTCCAAATTGGTAAAAGACTTATCGTGATGATTAATTTGAATGGATATAAAGTGATATAAGGCTCAAGAATTTGATGTTTGGAGATTGTGGTCTTTTAGTGAATGATTCGTAATTTGGCACACTTTTCTTATAATATATTATTACATTATGATTTGCGTTTTGGTATATTAAGATAGGTTAAAAAGTAAGTGTTTATACACATTAAAATTTGAACACTCTTGTTGTAATTCTTGGTTTCTCAACCCCGGACACAATCATGGTAACATATATATCACAATAACTAGTGGAACAAAGAGAGGAAGCATTGAAAATAGGAGAAACCTAGTTGATCCTATTGATGACAAAATTGATTTTATTGCCAGATTGATTTGTGTCCATCTAGTGTTGATACTAATATTTAATATAAGAATAATGTGTTTGTTAAGCATAAGTACCAACACGATCCTATTGATGACAAAGTTGATTTTCTAGCAAGATTCATTTGTGTCCATCTAGTGTTGATACTAAACTTTAATTTAGGAATTAATTATTATTTCTTAAGCATAAGTACCAACACGATCCTATTGATGACAAAGTTGATTTTCTAGCAAGATTCATTTGTGTCCATCTAGTGTTGATACTAATATTTAATATAAGAATAATGTGTTTGTTAAGCATAAGTACCAACACTAGTTGATCCTATTGATGACAAAATTGATTTTATTGCCAGATTGATTTGTGTCCATCTAGTGTTGACACTTAGCTTTAAATTTAGTTTTTACTTGTTTAGTTCTTGAAATAAGTTGAAATAAAGTTTAATTAACCCCTAGCTAGTTTGACAAATTATTTAAAATAATGTGGTTTAGTTGGTGGATTTAGTTGTTGGAATTAATTCAAAAACTAGTTAGAGTTAAAGTTGTTTAGTTGTTTAAATAAGTTCAAATAATTAATGCGGTTTAGTTGGTGGATTTAGTTGTTGGAATTAAGTCAAAACTAGTTAGAGTTAAAGTTGTTTAGTTGTTTAAATAAGTTCAAATAATTAATGCGGTTTAGTTGGTGGATTTAGTTGTTGGAATTAAGTCAAAACTAGTTATAGTTAAGAAGTTGTTAAATTATTTAAATAAGTTCAAATAAATAATGTGATTTAGTTGATAGATTTAGTTGTTGTAATTAAGTCAAAACTAGTTAGAGTTAAAAAGTTGTTAAGTTGTTTAAATAAGTTCAAATAAATAATGTGGTTTAGTTGGTGAATTTAGTTGTTTGAATTAAGTCAAAACTAGTTAGAGTTAAAAAGTTATTAAGTTGTTTAAATAAGTTCAAATAAATAATGTGGTTTAGTTGTTGGATTTAGTTGTTGAATTAAGTCAAAACTAGATCGAGTTAAAAAGTTGTAAAGTTGTTTAAGTAAGTTCAAATAAATAATATGGTTTAGTTGGTGGATTTAGTTGTTGGAATTAAGTCAAAACTAGTTAGAGTTAAAAAGTTGTTAAGTTGTTTAAATAAGTTCAAATAAATAATGTGGTTTAGTTAGTGGATTTAGTTGTTGGAATTAAGTCAAAACTAGTTAGAGTTAAAAAGTTGTTAAGTTGTTTAAATAAGTTCTAATAAATAATGTGGTTTAGTTGGTGGATTTAGTTGTTAACTAGTTAGAATTAAAAAGTTGTTTTGTTGTTTAAGTAAGTTCAAATAAATATTGTAGTTTAGTTTGTGGATTTAGTTGTTGGAATTATGTCAAAACTAGTAAGAGTTAAAAAGTTGTTTCGCTGTATAAATAAGTTCAAATAAATAATGTGATTTAGTTGGTGGATTTAGTTCAAAACTAGTTAGAGTTAAAAAGATATTTAAATAAGTTTAAATAAATAATGTGATTTAGTTGGTCAAATTAAGTCAAAACTAGTTAGAGTTAAAAAGATATTTAAATAAGTTTAAATAAATAATGTGGTTTAGTTGGTGAATTTAGTTATTGGAATTAAGTCAAAACTAGTTTGAGTTAAAAAGTTGTTAAGTTCAATAATGTGGTTTAGTTGGTGGATTTAGTTGTTTGAATTAAGTCAAAACTAGTCAGAGTTAAAAAGTTGTTAAGTTGTTTAAATAAGTTCAAATAAATAATGTCG